TACATAGAGTCTCTTAATTAACGATTAACAACGATAATTAATAGAACTAAAACAATTTTTACGAGAAAGCAAAAAAAAAAATCGATTCGCGAAAATCTTCCAAGATGCATCTTGAAAGAAGAAGACGATACAACGAAGAAAAATCAAGAAGTACCGGTCATTTTCGATTTCTGTAAGTTGAGAAATCGGATCTCGCAAGTAGTAGCGAAGTTCACTGAGAGAAACAGTGGACGTTCCTCTGTGAATGATAACGGCGATAACACTGTCTCGTGTTCAATATTATTCATGAATGGTATTCTGTGAAAAGTGGCGCCGTCCGCTGCGAGTTTAATCTCGGTTGCTAACTATAAAAGAACACTCCTTCTTCAAGATCCCTTTGTTCAGCCTCGTATTTCACACAATCAATGCTGTTAAGTGTCCGAATGTTCCCATGGATTCTTTCATTGTTGCATACAATCGGTCGGGTTTTAAAAATACACATCAAGTATCGATACAGGAATTATCGAATGATTCTTCTGAAGTATTCCGGTTTTCGGGGTCATCTCATAAGTTCGTGACGAAAGCGAAAAGTATTGTAATGAAAATCCAAGGAAATACTATAGATTTTTTGTTTTTTAATGTAAAGGTACGGTGGAAATATTGATTTAAATTATATAATGCGACACGATCTTATGGGATGACCTAATATTTATGCAATCCTTATAGCTTGGAGAATACGTCTGTCGTGCCATTTTTCGAAATTGGATAAATTGTAGAATTCTAATGCAGATCTTCGAAAATCTTTAAACGTGGTCTTCTCGAAACCAAGTTTTCCAAGGCTCTCCCGAGGTTTCCCCGGAAACTATTGCACCGATTGCTTTCCCCTTTATACTGCATACTAGGAACACCTATCGCTATCGCCCTAACAAAAATCAGGCCAGTATTTTGAAAACTTTTCTTGCCACCCAAAATTTACGAAAACCGCAGGGAAAAAGGGAATTTTTCAATTCAACCCATTGTCATTTCGTAGAAAAATTTTTGAAATTTATGATCGTGATTGGGGCGATAGTGGCATTCTTGAGGACTAAAACAACGTTTGGTTCCATTTTTTCTGACCAATAGGAAAGTCGCTAGCCATGGGACAAGTCAGCAAGGATAAGCTGAATCAGCTGAATGAGTCAGCTGAACGTTGTAAACATTTAAAGTTTTTATTAATGACTTTAAACAGCCAAAAGATGGATATAGGTATACACAAAGCACCAATATTGTAACTTTTCTTGTCGCCTAGAAAAGAAATCTTGAGATCGGCTGAAAAATCGGCCGTCTAAAACCGAATACTCCTTTCAATAGGGGAAAAACGATCAGATCAATGAACGTGTTGGCAAAACAGGGAAAAATTGCGTTCTACATGCTAGTTACGGTATGTACAGGTGAAACGATCGACTAATTTCTAATAAAGAACATGCAAAATACTTTTTCCAAGCAAACACAGTTAGTGATAATTACATACAAAGGCGGATTGAAGCGCATGTCCTAGAGCAGCGATGTCCAATGGAAATTGCGAGCATCAGGAATCGCACAACGATTAATGAGGTCACGTGCTAATTCAAGGCTAGCCAATAACACGAGTAATCGTCTTATTATCTCGTAGATACATCGAGTTATGTCATAATCCTGAAACCGATTCCCATAGAATTTGCACCATTAACTCATCGCTTACTGATTAGAGACTTCGCTACCAGCGTATAAATTGCGCAAAAATCACGACCAACGGGACAATAACGAAAGGGAAAAAAGCAACTTAACCGAACATTCACGCTTGATCAGAAAGAAAAATAAGAAACGGCGATAGTAACTCACGACTATCTGTGAAAATCTATCAGAAAAAACTTTTTCAATATCTGTCCCGTTAATCCGAAGAAAGAGTTCCGATGGTACTCTTAAAAATCGACCGTATATCTCGCGCGAAATGATCTAAAACGAAAGAAAGCTCGTAAATTGCTTCTCGGCGAACGATCCAAGAGATCGCACGATCAATGAAAAATGGGGGCACAAAACGACAACTATTTAAACATGACAACAACGCATGGTTAGTTTTATCAACTTACTCTTGAACAGCCGAGAGATTATAGTAACTCCGCTGTTGCTGCTGTTGATGATGATGCTGATAGAGTTGAGCACCGGTCGGCGACATCGTTGAAACGACCTGACTGTGATTATCGTGAACATGATGCTCCTGATGGATACGCGGCTGAAGCTCCTCCAACGAGATGAATTCCTGCGGCTCCTGACCTGGATGGAGGAGCTGCGTGTAACTATGTGCCATTTCTTGGGCCACCATCTCCTGTTCCGGTGGTCCGCGAAAGCACAGGAAATCCTCGAGCTCTTCCTCCTGACGCTGTTGATAATGCGGCTGGAGCTGCGACTGTTCTTCACGATAACGATGACGTTGAGAATGCTGCTGTTGCTGCTGATGTTGACGGAGGCCGCAGGTATTCACGCCGGTGCCATCGCCGACCACAACATCATTCTTCACGACACCACCGCTATCTGGCAGTAATCCACCCTCGTCTGAGAATGCACAAAGCGGCGTTTTCTTTTATCCGGACCTCGACTTCGGCCGCGTCACAAGCTGGTTGCAAAGTGCGAACGGATCAGGACGAAACGCGGGTGTTTCACGTGAAGGAAACGCATCTGGACTTCTTTGATCGAGCGCCTTCGAAACCTTCGCCTTATTTGAAATAAGGTATATTCAAGCTCGATCCTCTGGTTTGTGTTTTGCTTCTCTGTTTACTTGATTTCGATGAAAACGATTTTCTCGCTTATCGACGATTGTTCAGGTAGGTTTGAAAATTTTGTCGGATCGATTTGTGTTACGTCGATGAAACGTGGAAATTGAAAGAATAATCCGAACGATAATCCGTACATTACGAGGAGAAATACCGAATGCTTTTAATCAACGGGAACTTGGCACAGATTACATATCGAGCTTTTTTCTTTTCTGGAATCTGCATGCACCGAACGATACCCGGCTAAGATTTTACGTATTGCGAAACTTGATAAGAATCTAGCCAGCGTAATTACATAAGCTGGCGTGCAATCATTCATTGCGGCCCCTGTCGATGCAAAACGCGACTTTCTAAATCGCTGACCCCATACTTAAATAACCCATCGGTTTTCATCGAATCATAATAAATGCCTCCTGGACTCGTGGAATTGTCAAACTTATCGCATGCGGTTACGTCAAAATCAACCGTGTTAATGTAGCATGTTATACTGTGAAATGTACAACTAGCGAATTCTGTAATACTACTGTATTACGACTAATCAACGCTACTCAAAATGAATTAAGAATTTCTTTAAAACAAAATTCAAATTCTTCACGATTATCTTTCTTATATTTTTTGTCCTTGATTCTATTTCGATGCAATCAAATCCCGTTCTATTAGGTCATCCTGAAAGTTCCCGCGGTTTTCAGCCGTTCATTTTGGGAAAACACAAGTCTAGCGAAATTGAACATTTTTGTTTCAAATAATTTCCATAACGTTCGATACACTTTTGCCCTAAATCTCGAGCGCTGAATCTCTAAGAGAACGAAAGACGCAAATTCGAGAGTACTCAGTGTGCACGGCACTGAGAGTGCTGACAGAGAAATGGACACACAATTTGAGAGTATTCTCGAAAGCAGCTATCGTAAAAGACTCTCAGGTGGACACGTATCCTAAGACCAGGTACCACCATCACTGTAGAATCATACAGTAACGAATTGGAGATCGTCCACGAAAAACTGAAGATACAGCAACCAACCCTGGTCAACAGAAAAGGCCCTAACCTTTAGCATGACAACGCCAGATCGCACTTGGCAAGCATAACTGAACAAAAATGGCATCAATTTCCACTCACTGGATAAATTTCTTGCACAAAAAGGATTTAAGAAACAGGAGGACATTGAAAACGCCTTTCATCAGTTTCTTTCTCTCAGAGATACGAATTTTTATCATATACGCAGAATTAACTCTCCTGTGATACGCTGATAAAAGTGTATCGAACATTATGGAAATTATTTACATAAAAATGTTTAATTTAAATGAACAGCTTAAAAGCGCGGGAGTTTACAGGATGACCTAATATTTTGAAAATTTTGAGAAAAAGTGCGAACCATTGTTGTGCTGTTCGTGTTGAACGTTGATTTTGTCTCAGAATCAGGAATTGGGTCGAAGAAATCATAAAGGCTACTGCAAAGTTGCTACATAATACATATCATAATAAAATTAAATAATTTCATCGTACCGTCCTACAAATAAAAAATATTACTACAACAGCATGTCTCTCTATTAGCAACGAAGGGTTAAATAAATCAAGCATTGTCTAGGTTGATTAACAGGCATATTTACATACATTTACGATTATTATTTGACTGAAAAGTCGGTCGAAGATGGCACGAATTGTTATTATTACACGATAAAGAATGAAATACCCAAAAAACACGAAGAACGTAAGCAACGAAACGCGTTAGCTGAGATCCGTTAAATTCAAGACTAAATCGTGTCGTCGTGTATTTTATTAACAACGAAAGGTGCAAATGTTGTTTCGATACCTTGACGATCTCTCAATTACGTAAAACTAATTATAGGGAGAACGAAAATATCGGCCAGTTTGTAGCTGAATGGCTGCATACAACGTTCCCTCATTCGAACGCCGAAGCATCGATTCCATTGTTCCTTGAAAAATAAGCGCCGATCTATTAGTATTTTTCAGGAATAATTAACCTACTTTTTCGCGCATTGGAGAATGTCAGTTCCGTCTGACATTGACAAACAGAGGAAACAGAGAAGTGGACCTACATCACACTGTGACACGATGAATAGCGAAAACAGACCATCCGACGAATATTCCGCGCCATCGTTGCAATAACTATAATCATCTCTGACACGAAACAACCTATATATCACGTAAGTGTGAAGAATACGCGCGCTCTCGATTTTTCGATTTCTCAAGCGATACTTATAGTGACGTAATGTCTGTGATATCAGATGAACACGAAGAAGAAAACCCTAAAAAAAGGAAGCATTTTTCAGCTGTGAATAATAAGATTGTGTGATACTTTCAGGACGCAAAGTAAGCTATTACCAATTTTAACGAACGAGATGATTAGATTGTCAATCGATATTTTACTCGTGTCTAGTGTACGTATATCTATCTCACCTCGGAGAGATTTGCAAGGACCTGACAATTATTTACTTTCGATTGTACCGCGACCAACAGGTGGTAAACGCTCGTTTAATCGAACTCGAAAATTTTTTTTTTAAACGAGGTAATTAAACGTCTCTGGAAACAGTGTTTCGCGAGCGTGCAAAGTCAACGAGGATCGGTATCATTAGCGCGATGGTAGACGGCTAATAAATTTCTGAAGAATCGGGGGACCGCGGATACACGGTCCGCGATAAATTGTACGCCTTCGACCGCACATTAATTGCACCTCCACGACTGACAGACAATTTCATACTTTTATGACATTTCGACGTGGTGTGCGCGCGGTAAGTGTGAGCGACGGTTGTTGCAAGAGCTCGCTGACCCTTCATAGAGGATCTCCCGGTGATACGAAATGACGTAACCCTTTCCTAATTAATAGCACTTTCGTTGCATTCAATTTGATGAAGTAGGATCGTTTCTTATATTAGGTGTTTTGAAACACGTCTCATAGAACTTACTCTGAATGAAAGTTCGAGGTGGTGTGTAATATGAATGGACGTTGAATGGATGTAATATACCGAGAATAAAGGAGAGGACTAATATTGTTCAAGTTGTGAACGCGAGTGTCCTTTTAATTTTCTGTTTACAAATTATCAGGTTGGTGCATATGAAATGTCGTTTATTTTTAAATCAAACTTTAGATACAGCTTGTTTCTTCGAAAGATAATGAATTTAATCAAAAGTTTCCATTAAATAGCTTCAAAAGATTCTTTGAATGCTGCTTTCGCAGTGTCTTCATTTCGGGATAATTTATTTGTTGAAACAATTGTTCAGGTGTTTAGAAAAATGGTAGTTCGTTGGTGAAAGAAAGTGAACTTTTACATTCTTCACAGCGTTAAAACGTTATCATCGAAAACTCTATCTGGCTTTTCTCTTGGCTCATTTTCCAACGAAGAGACACCAGTTTTGAATTTTGCACACCGACATTGAAGTGTCCTAAAATTTACGTAGCTTTATCCAAGTGCTAAATTTATATTTTCAGCAGTTTTCATCGCAGTTCTTTCAAATGTAGTTTATGTTAAAAAAATTATTCATCACGTCAGATAATAATTATGAATTAGTTTCAATATTCAGTACTCGTGTAACACAGAAAATTCCTTCTGCTTCACTGTTGTCTATAAAAATTCACGATCAAACGAAATTTCAGACATTTCATTTACACCAATCTAATACATTATTTTCGGAATAGATAATGAACCTTTAATTTTCAATTTTATAAAGAATTTATGTATGCTTTTATGTCTGACGCAAATTCTACTAAAGAATTATAACAACTCTGAAGGAATGTCGGAAAATACTTGAAATTCGTGGCGTACAAAACTTACGTAAATGAAAACACGTTAAGAAGCCATGAAAATTTCCATACAAGTAAAGCAACATTTTAATTACGTAACAAAAAATAATGTATAATAGTATTGAGAGGCAATAAAACGATTACGAAAGTTGGTCGCGTAAGAAGAATCACGATCACTTGCTACTATTCCTAGCAATTGCCAACAAACCGATTACACTCGACTGAAAAAGTATCTTTGATATCAAATTAAACACCGCTGAAAATATTCACTGCACAGCAATTGTTATCAGAATCAAGTAGTACAATTATTTCTCGAAAATACAATAATTTTCTCTCGTCTTGATGAGAGAAAACAGTTTTACCTGTTATTTTAGACAAAATTCAAGCAATGCTCACTTATTCGTGATAAAAGAATAATCTTCTGCAAACATTCGTAATTTCTACAATACCATCAAACATTTATCAACTTTCATCCAACTAATAATACTCGAAAATTCTTTCTAAAGTCGTTGATGTAAAAACTCATTCACCGAAGGAAACTATCGCAAGTGAGATATTCTACTCGGTCGGTATGCGGATGCAAGATCGTTAGGTGGTGCTTGCACAATTAGTCCATTTCGCGTAAAATTCATTCAGCGATTCGGGAGGGGCAATAAAGCGGTAAAATTGCAATACTAATGACTATCATCCGGCGGCGATAGTGGAACGGTACCGATCACAATTTTGTAATAGCTAGTCGCGCCATTTAGAAACATTTCACTGACTTTTTCTCTTGCGTAAAAGACATTAGGAAGCAATGACTCTTTCATCCTCTTACACGCGCCTCTACCGGCAGAGATTTACGTAATTACAAGTAAAATCGATAATGGACGAAGCGTTTGATCATTAGACGAGAGAATGACAGCGGTTCGTTTAAACTAATTTATGATCTTGCATTTAATGATATACATATCAGGTGTCTTTTCTTCGGATAAATCACCAGTGTGCAATCCGTAAGCGTTCATCGTTTAATAGGTGGCTAATG